CATTCTGGGTCGGCCCAGAGTGGCTGAATGGTCGAGTCACCTGGCCACTCTGAGCCTGTTTTTCCTTCAGTAAAATGTTGGGGTGGGCTCGGCTCAGTGGGTGGCGGCTGGTGGGAGCGGTGTGTCACCGAAAGTGCCCCAGGCAGGAGCGATGGGGCAGATCTCCACACCTGCCTGAGAGGCCAGCCTCCCCATGCTGGGGAAAGGCTCCTCTCCCTGGGCCCTGCTGCCCTCTGCTGGTCGAGGTCCAGCCACCTGGCCAGTGCCCAGGGGAGGTCAGCGCTGAGGCTGGGAGTCCCCTCCGGTGTCCACACGCCCAACTCTGCCACTCAGTGCTTTCGGTCCCGCTCTTTAGCTTTCTGAAACCTGTTTCCTCATCTCTACAGTGGGGATTGTGAGGACTGAATGAGGTAGGATTTGCAGAATGTCACCTACAGTGCCTGGCCAGACAGGACTCTGTGGTGCTCCTCTCGTGGGCAGACAGGAGCAGGGGTCCTAGAAGAACCCTGTTTCAGATGCCCGGGTGCGGTGGGGGAGCTCTGTGTCTGTGTCTTTTGTTTACTGAGAAGCACCTCCCTGGCCCTCCCATCCCCAGCTCCCCTCCTGTTGATCTCAATGGCCGGAGCAGGCTTCTGAGTGAATATCGGATGCTCCCCTCCCCTGCTGGTTGTGTCTACATTGCAGCTCCCATGGAGGATGGAGGATGGAGGCTTAGAAGGCAAGAACCACATCCTGCTCACTCCCCCCCGCCACCTGGTGTTCAGTGCCTAGAACAGGGCCCACGTATGAGAGATGACCGGTACATATTTCCTAATCCAATGCATCGTGGCTGCCCTGCGCCCAGCGCTGGACCGGGCTGGTGTCTCCTCTGCAAACTTGGGCCCTGGAGGAATTCCAGCCCCATCCTCCCGGCTCCCCTCAGAGGGTCCAGCCCTGTCCTGCCGGCCTTGCCAAGAGCCATCTACTTCATGCTTCGAGTCCACTCCTCTCTGACGCTTCCCATCCTCGTCATCAGGAGGGTCTGAGCTCCCTCCCTCATCCTCCCAAAGCGTGATGACCCATATTGGGAAGAGGGGACCGACATCCATTAAACACTTCCAGGCTTGCTCCTGCTTTGCAGATCCTGCAACAACTTTGCACAATAAATAATGACCCTCATTTCATAGTTAACCACTCTGATTTGTAGTTAAGACTAAGTGAATAAGCACCAGTTGCGTTAACTCATTTAATCCTCCCAACACGCCAGGAGGTAGGTCCTACCCCTACCCTCATTTTACAGATAAGGAAACTGACACGGAGAGACCCCTAGTGACTTGTTCAAGGTCACAGAGCTGGCAAATTGCAGAACCAGGATTTGAACCCAGGAAAATCCCCTACTTTCCACACTCCGACCTGTTAGGCCCTGGAATGTAGGGTGGGCAGTCAGCTGTTCTGTTTTGGATCACTCTGCCCCTCAGCACCGTCCCAGGCTTTGTTGATTCCCTAGCCAGGGGCTTTAGGATGACTTCCTGGGGGCCGTGAGTGCTGATCCACCAAAGGAAGGGGCCCCGGGAGCAGGAGGAGGCCGGAGAGAGAGAGAGGGTGGCCTGAAGTGGGGTAATCTGCCAGCCACCATCCCCTCCCCACACCCAGATGTGGGGCCCTGGGGGGCTGTCCAGGCGGAGGGGAGAGGGAAGTTTCATGACTCACAGAGTGTGCCCCACCCTGCCTGCCAGGATGCCAGGGAGTGGCCTGTCCTGGAGATGACTTGGGGTCCCCACCCCCACCCCTTGCCTTCCCGGCAGACAACCCCAAGGCTGGGCGGAGGCGGTGTGGAGAATGAAGACACTGTGGTTTGTGGCTCTTGGCCCCAGCGGGCCTCTGGGCTGCGCCTTCCCCGTCTCCCACTCATCTGGCCAAGCCGCCCTGCCAGGCGGTGTTGTGAGGAATTGAAACGGGGGCTTGGCTGGCGAGGAGGAGGAGAGGATAACAACAACCCATAGTAACAACCCTGGCTCCTCAGCCCCATCTCCAAGTGCTGCCACTCACCATGCCCTCCTGTGACACCTGGATGGCTGCGTGCGGCCGCCTGGTGGGATGGGGGCCTGAAGCTGGAAACCGGCCACCTGATGGTCCCGCCTCTCCCAGTGCCAGTGTCTCAGCGATGGAGCTCACCTTCTCTGTGTTTCTCATGCACGCACGCACCGGGAGAGGCCTGCATTCTTCCGTCACTCTCAGAGTCCCCACCCTTCCAGCAGTCTACCCTTGCCACCAGCGCGGCTTCCCAGCCCAGAAGTCACCTGGCCTGGACGTGTGGTGGCTTGTTTCCTGTGTCTGGACATCTGCAGCTGCCCAACTGGTCTCTGATTCCCACCTCTGCCCTCCCAGCCATGCCGCCTGGTCCCGCCACGCCTGTCATCTGAAGGCATCCAACCTGGCCTTTCCCACAGCATGGGAGGAAAAGCCCAGTTCCTCAGCCAAGGGGCCTGCGCAAAGACAATGGAGGCTTTGGTGTGCGGGTGGGTCCGTGTGCGTGCAGTGAGGTGGGAGTGAGGAAGCTGGGGACCCACAGGCTTCCTGGAGAAGGTGGTGTCTGAGCTGGTCTCTGGGGGATTTGCAGGTGGAGGGGTTTGAACAGGCAGGATTGGGAGGAAGGGCATGCCAAGGTGGGGCAACAGCCTGAGCAAAGGCTTGGAGGCTAGCATGGGTCGTTAGTTAGTGCTCCTGGGGTATGGCTCCCTGGGTGTGGCTGGAGTGTCAGGTGTCCTGGGCAGGGAAGGTGGGCTGTGGCCAGATGCAGGAGAGCACAAGTCCCCAGCTGGGGAAGCTGGACCCCCTTCTCTGGGCAGAGGGGCTGTGGAAGGCTCAAGGTGGCAGGACTAGATCTGTGCTTTGGAAAATGGCTCTGCCAGTGGTGAGGAGGATGACGGAGGCTGAGCCCGGAGGCTGGGAGATTATGTGGTAATCTGGGTGGGAGTGGATGAGGGCCTGAAGTGGAGCACTGATTCACAGCATTCATCCACTCGTTCAGCACATGCTTCTTGAGTGCTTCCTATATGCTGGGCACATGGATCGGGAACAAGCCCAGTCCATGCTCTCGGGGAGCTGGCAATCCAGTGGGGAGACAGAACTATGTCAAATGGTGATGAGCTCTCGAAGAAAGTGCAGGAGAGCGGCCAAGGGCGGGGGCTGGAGAGAAAGTGAATGTGTGTGTTCCTGACCCTCCTCTCCAGCGGCCCCCATCAGACTGGGCATGTGCCCACTGCCCCCTCTGTGCAGTGGCCCCAGAAGCCCCTCCCCGGCACACCACAGCCTTCCACCTCCCAGCCCCCATCCTGCTTCCCCTGTGCTCACAGAGAGCACTTCTTCTCTGACCTGGACCTCCCAGCATGCGTCCTGGGAAGTGCAGTGATCGCCTGAGTTGAACTTCAGTCCTGAGTCGAACTTCAGCCAGATGAGATGTTGAAGCTGCAAGAGTGTCACTCTCATAAGATCACACAGCTATAGAAAACGGCAGGACTGAGATTCAAACCCAGATCTGCTGCTGGCTCCAGAGATGGAGCACTCTGCAGGCCAGGCCACATCCTCAACTAGGGGCTGAAAACAAAGATGAAGGAGACGAGGATCAAGACTTCAAGGGAGCTGAGGCCTAGTGCAGGCAGACAGACGTGCAAGCAGTCAGGGGACAAGCATCATAGCAACATACCTACAAGGGCTCCAGGAACACACATTTTGGGAAATTAGAGAAAAGAGATATCAGAGCTGGGCTTAGCTCACTGGGCTTGGGGGCGGGGTGTGGCAGGAAAGAGGAGAATAGGGAAGAACATTCTGAGCATGGAGTGTACATTGGGAAGGAGTAATCAGGCTAGAAATGTAGGCCAGGAAAAGTTGTTTCCCATTCCTGAGCAGCTTATACTAAAACCCCGGAGTGAAGCCTATAATCCAGGTGGGGTTTTCCGAGCAGGCCCCTAAGATCATTTCACCTGCCTCAGCTCAGCTCTGTAACCTGAGCCATGAGCCCTCACCTGGAGGAAGTGGTCCCTCCCCTGGAGCTGTTTCTAATGAAACGGAGGGGATGGGTGTTCTGGCTGGTTCTCTGTGGGTGGGCCTCATCCAATCAGTGGAAGGCCTTAACTGGTTCTCTGTGGGTGGGCCTCATCCAATCAGTGGAAGGCCTTAAGAGAAAAGACTGAGGTTTCTGGAGGAAGAAGGAATTCTGCCTCAAGTCAACAACAAAGAAACCCTGCCTGAGTTCCCAGACTGCTGCCCCACAGAATTCAGACTCAAGACTGCAACATCTCCTCACCTGAACCACCAGCCTGCCCTACAGGTTTTGGACTTGCCAGCCCCCACAATCGTGTGAGCCAATTCCTTAGAATCTCTCTCTCTCTCTCTCTCTCTCTGTATATCCTATTGGTTCTGTTTCTCTGGAACCTGACTAATGCAATATTATTGACTGTATTACATACATTACATCTATACAATATTATCTATTGTATTTATCACCAATAAAAGGAATACTGTGAACCTTTTGTGAGCAACTGCTGTGAGTCAGGCACCTGCCAAGCTCCTTGCATGTGTCTCATAACGCTCTTACTCACCCACAAGCTCCAAGACATCAGCTGTGATTGCTCCCATTTCACAGATAAGGACACTGAGGCCCAGAGGGTTTGAATAACCTGCCCAAGTTCCTAAAGTGATGAAGCTGGGTTTGGATCCAGGTGGTTCATCTGGCACCTACATGGGGTGGGCTCTTATCCACCACGAAACATGTGTGTAAAGGCATTTCGAAACAAGAGGCATGACACGACTGACAAGTGATTTTAGTTGTTAGTTACCACTGGGATGGGCAGGGCGAGGTGGGAAGGGGCAGGGTGTGAGTTCTGGCCGGAGGGTCCCAGCAACGCAGGATCCTGAAGGTGCAGTCCCAGGAACAGCCGCGAGGTGGCGCCAGGCTGCACAGGCCGCTCCAGGATGCGGTCCAGGGCTGGGAGCTGGGACTCTGTTGGTCATTCCGGGGGTCTCCAGGCCTCAGAGCGATTTCGCTCCAATCCAGGGATCCCAGCCCCAGGGTTGGGGGCCCGGCCTCGGTGGTGCGCATCCGTTTGAGGTGAGAGCGGCGGGTCACAGCCTAGGGACCGGGTCCAGCCCGGCCAACTGGGCAGAGGTCAGCACCCAGCTCCTTCCTATGCTGCTAGGGCGGTCGGGGCAGGGAGGGCCCCAAGCCGTCAGGTCACCACGCAAAAGCTCCGGGTGATCCGCCGCCAGAGGTTGCGACTGCGGCTGCTGAGGGCCACCTCGGCCGCCTCCTGGAAGACGGCATGGACGTTTTCGTGGAGCAGAGCCGAGCATTCGAGGTAGGCCACTGCGCCCACGGACCTCGCCATCTCCTGACCCTAACAGGGAGAATGGATGGGGCTGCCATGAGGTGGGGACCGCTGGGGGGCCTCACGTCCAGCCTCCCCACAGCCCTCTTCACCACCCTAGGGAGTCTCCAGGACAAGAGTGGAAGGTGGATTTTTCCAGGGCAGCCACAGTTCCCGCTCCTTGGCTTGACCAAGGGCATCCATGGCTTCACTGGGTTTCCTGCCTCAGTTCTGGGCTGGGTCTCTGCCTCCCAAGACACCAACTAATTAACTTCCCAGCCTGACCCGGGCATGTAGCAGAGAGGGACCCACAGACTGAAGAGCTGGGGGTCCTCTCTGGGCCTCAGGTTCCCCATCTGTGGGTGGGTAGGACTATCTGCTGTGCACACCACTGGCTCTCCATTCCACAGGTGGAACCTTCCGGAATATTCTAGGTACCACTTCCGAGCGCTGGCAATTCCTGACCCATGACCACCACCAACAGAACCCATACTGAGTGTGCTGGACACCTGGCGCTGCTGAGAGGCTGGGCCGGCCCACTGTATCCCAGAGGTTCCCTCTCCCGGCACCCCCATCCCAGGCTGGGCTTCCTACCCTGTGGTAGGTGACGGGCTCCAACTTATTTTTCCGTAGCTTCTTCACCAGCGACTTGTCCTTGCGCAGGTCGGTCTTGCAGCCCACGAGGATGATGGGCACCTCCTTGCAGAAGTGATTCACCTCTGGGTACCACTGCGGAGAGGGTGGCGGCAAGGGTGTGCGTGTGAGCCATGGAGAATGCTGTCCCTCTCAGCTGACGGGGAGAATGGGCCAGTCTCCTGCTCCCCAGGCAGACTCCACAATGATAATCAGCACAGACAAGGTTTAGAGAGAACTACTCTGCGTCAGGCTCTAAGACTGCACGCATGAACTCATTAGTCCCCCAAGTCCCTGTGGAGCAAGTTCTAGCATCAATCCCATTGTACAGATGCAGTAAACTGAGGCTCAGAGAGGCTACATAACTTGGCCTTGGTCACACAACGGGAAGTGGCAGGATTTGAGCCCAGGGAGTGGGATGCAGAGCTCTGCTCCCACTTGCTCTAGAATTCTGCCTCTGCAAGGTAAGGGCTCGGTGGCTGCCTCCCCAGCAGGGTAGAATACGTAAGGAAATAAGTGATCCTTTAAAAATAAAGCAGCTCACAAAATGGCTGCAGCAGCTGTTTGCCTGTTGGAGGGAGAGCTCCTTTCCCGTGTCAGCTGCTCTCTGGAATGTGAGGCTCCAGGGCCTGGTTATTTCAGCCTGGACTACAACCAGGGGGCCTGGAATCCAGAGACGGGGGCTTTATATCTCCAGGAGCGCGTGCCTGCTCAGCTGCAGGAAGAATAGGCATCAAACCGTCTGGCTCCGGGAGCCAGATGGGGCCCGTGTGGGGTCCTGGGCGGACTCCCCACACCCCACCCCTCCACAAAACTGCCCTTGAAAAGGGTCACCTCCATGATTCCATCTTGCTAAACCCAACAGTGACTCCTCAGCCCTCATCCTACCTGAGCCCTGACACTGCGGATCACTCCCTCCAGCCCACCCTCCCTGTGCCCGGGGAGGCTCAAGTGTGGGCTTGTCTCTCCTCCGGCTGCTCTTGGCCCCCAGGCGACCCCCCAGCCCCAGTCTAGGCTCTTCCCCACCAGCAGCTCCTAAATGGATCTGCCCAGCCCGGCCCAGCCCTCTCCCAGCAACAGCAGACTCGACTCTGCCTGTCTCTCCACTGGGATGTCCAACAGGCCCCCCATCTCCCACGTCCCCACCCACAGCTTGCTCCTTGTCATCTTGGGAGATGGCAAGTCCCCTTTCCAGTTGCTCTGGTCAAAACGTCTCTCTCCCACCCACGTCCAATCCATCTGCAAATCCTGATGGCTCTGCCTTCGAAATAGATCCAGAATCCACCCACCTCTCACCACCCCCTCTGCTAGCACCCTGGTCCCCGCCAGCCATCTCTCCAGGTCCTGGTGCCTGGAACAGCGCCTGACAGAGAGGGTCTCTGTCAACACTTCTGAATGACTGCGTGCAGCAGACTGCCTGGTTCAAATCCCGGTGTTGCCACTGTAATAGATGTGTATCTTGAAGCAAGTGATCCAACCTGGGGTAATGATAGTGTCCTTTCCATAAGGGTGTTAGGGGGTAAGATGAGTACGTATGTGTAAGTGCCCAGAACAGCGCCTGGCACATGGTGAGTCCGCAACGAATGCTGCCATCATCGTTGTGGTTATTATTACTAATGCTGTCATGGCTGTGCTCTGAGGAACCCTGGAGCAGGCCATTCGCACGGAGGCCGTGGCAGCAGTGGGGGAAGGGCTGTGCCACAGCTGGAGGTGGCAGGAGCAGAAGAACCCAAGGGACTGCACCCCTGACACCTGTGAGCAGCCTCAGGAACCCCTGACATAGCTGGGGAGCATCCTGGGAGGCCGCTGAGAGCCAGCAGTCATGCTGATGGGGTCTGAGAGCTGCTGTAAGCTGAGGCTTCATGCAACCTTGGGTAGGCCCAGGCTGGGCAGACGCAGGGGCCTCTGGGTCACTGGGCATTCTCAGGCAGGGTCACAGTGGAAAGAGCCACAGTGTTCTGAGTCCGCAGTACAGAGCAGGCAAGGAGCACTGGACTGGGAGTCAGAGGCCAGACCCTACCACCAAATTCCCGTGGGACCTTGGGCAAGTTGCTGCCCCTCTCTGGGCCTCAGTTTCCCCATATATATGCCAAAGGCACTGGACCCAATGTCATCCAGGGCCTGCTGAGCTCTGACAGTCTGCCGTGTCGAGGGTGGGGACGGAGCAGAGTGGCCTGGCTATGGGGCCTGTGCCTCCCCAGCCTCCCAGTACCTACCCGGTTGGAGATGTTGTCAAAGCTGTATGGGCTGGTGACATCAAAGCAGAGGAGCAGGACGCTGGCATCAGGGTAGAACAGGGGCCGCAAGCGGTCGTAGTCAACTTGCCCTGGGCAGAGTAGGGGTGTCACTCCCTCCAGATCTCCTGCCTACTGTCAGCAGCCCCTCAACATTGAGGAGGTCATCCCACCGGACGGGGGGCTCTGGATCGGGGCCTGGTTGTGCGCCTCAGGGTCCGACACAAATTTGGCACTTAGCTGATCATTCCATGTGAATGTCCCCCTTGGGGCAGCGTTCACCTGGCCTGCCCATGGGATGTAACCCTTGCCTGGATGAGACCACCTGCTGAGAGAGCCTTGTTCTGGAAGGAGTGGAGGACTGAGGCCATCACTCAGAAGGCTGCTTTGCCCTGGGCTTGGGGGTTGAGGAAAGAGGCAGGCGGGACTCCAGCAAAGCCATCTTAGCCCATCCAAGGTTAGGGGGCTGCTAGGATTCCCTGAGGTTAGCTTTCAGCTCTGGGGTAAATTTGACTCTGAATCCTGGTATAGGCAAGGTCAGGAGGCTGGAGGGCAGAGGTCAAGTTCAGGTAGATCTTACAGAAGCTGAAGCCAGGGTGGAATGCTTAGGAGGCCAGGAACAGCCCATCCCTGAGAGCAAAGAGCTGGGGACGCCCCCTTGTCTCCAGGACACAGTGGGCTGCCCTGGGCTGGGGGAGGCAGCCGACATAGGTGCAGAAGCAAGGAGGGGTCAGGCTCCCGGGGGCCCGAATCCTGGCCAACAGCTGTTCCTTGGAGATTGGTCAGCCTCCCTGGTCCAGAAGGAAGGGAGTGGGGCTTGGCTCCGGGCATCTGGGGCCCCGCCTCCACCCTGCCCCACCCCAGCCCTGCACACCTACCTGCTGTGTCCCAGATCTGGAGGTGCACAGGTTTGCCCTTCATCTGCAGGTTAACGGTAAGCCGCTCGAACACGGTGGGCGTGTAGCTCTGAGGAGGAAGGGGGCAAGGGGAAGCTGTGAGGACAGCTTCTGAAGGGAGGTGGCCCAGGCTGCCCGAGCCCAGCAATGCCTGCGGCGCCGCCCCTCTTCGGGAGTCAGTAGAGTAGAGTGGTTTCTGGGAAGTCATGGCTGGCGGGGCTGAGGCCTAGCTGTGTGCCCCGTAAGGGCCGGACCTCCCTGGCCTCCTCGACTGTAAAGTGGGAGCATTAAGAGTACCTCCCGCATCGTGTTGCTGTAAGGACTCCGTGAGGCGCTCCATGCAGAGCCCTCGGCATGGGGCCTGGCACGAAATAAGCCCTCCACATGTGCCAGCTACTGTTATTTTTATCTTTGTCCCCCTGGATGGGGGGCTGCCCCATTTCCGAGCTTTCCTTCACGCTGTCCCCTCTGCCTGGAATGACATTGACCTACATTCGTTCGTTCATGAATTCATTCATTCAGTAAACATTAGCACCTTCTCTAGGTCCAGTTCTGGACACTGTGGAGCAAGTAATAAACAAGACTCAGTGTGTGCCCTGGGGAGTACATTGCTTATTGGGGTCCCTCCTTTGCCTCTCAACCTCTCACAATCCAACCAAGACCCCTGCCCAATGCCACCTCCCCCAGGATGCCTTTCCGGATCCCCTCCCACGGCCCCTGCCCCGTTTCTGCCTCTCTTACTTGCCCTGTCTGGCCTCAGGAGGAGGTCACCCCTGCCAGAGGCCCCTCCATCCCAGGCCTGCTCGGCCTGAGCCTGTTCCCTGTCCATAACGGCTGGATGAATGGAGGCAGGACGGGTTTTGTAAACAAATGCAGGAATGAAGAGGGGGCACTTTTACAGATGGGGTCCAAGCAACAGGCGAGGAGGTTTTCCAAACTCTGCCACAGCACAAGTCGTTTGCCCCAAGGGACATGTTGGACTGGCTGCATCTTGGGTCCCCAGGCCTCGCTCGCTTGCTCAGGGCTGGTGGGTGGGACCACAGCCTGGGGGGGACCCTCTCTTTGCCCCTTCCTATTCCCGGTGGGGCCCCCACCTGCCCATGACTCAGGAGGATATGAGCCTGCCTGCCTGCCTGCCCGCCCGCCTGCCCGCTGGCCCTCTGAGTCAGGCCCTGGCCACTGGGAGGGGCAGCCCCTTCGCGATGGGTCAGCGTGGTCCTCCAGGGCACTTGGGAAGCTGCAGGGGGAGGGTGGGAAGCAAGGCAGGTCCCAGAGTGGGCAGCTGGGGCAGATCAAAAAGTCGAGGGTGGCCCTGGGGTAGGGGTTCAACGCACTCTGGACTCTAGCCCCCTGTCAGTCCTTCTACTAATAGGAACAGACAAGGGCTCCACCCACCTCCCCAGGCCCCCCTGCCTGCCCAGGGCCCCTCTCCTCAGGCCCTTTGCCTGGCGGGGGACAGTGTGACATGGTGGCTAGGAGCACTGGCTTTGGAATCAAATGTGCCTGGCTGAGAACTGGCTCTGGCACTCACCAGCTGCGTGACCTTGGGCCAGTCTTCTAGCTGGTTAAAGGAGAAAAGCAGTGTGACAGGGAAGACTGCTGGCAGGTGAGGCCTAGCATAAATGTCAGGGGCAGTGTCCACACCGGCTGCCGGCCGTCCCTCCAGGTGGCACCCCCTGCCCCAGGCCCTCCCCAGCCTGTCACTGTGGAGGGCACTGACGCCTGCTGAGGTCCAGCTTGGCCACCCACTCACCTGCACAGGACCCCTCCTGATCTGAGGTGCAAGGCAGCTCTCAGGAGACACATGTCAGGACTTTGCAAATGCCCGTGGAGATGACACTGTCACTCATTCTCTAGGGAGCTACTGTGTGTGGCCCTTTACCTGCACCATCTCTGATCCTTGCAACCTTGGGAAGTCGGTACTATCCCCATTTTCCTGAGGAGAACAGAGCGGGGAACTGACACGCTGGACAGCTGGCTAAGGACGGAGCCCGGACTTTGTGGCTCCAGAGGCCAGGCTCTGTCCCAGCCACCTGCCTCTCCTGAGGTCATCAACTCTAGCCTCTGGTGCCAGGAGTGGGCAGAGAAGGCCCATTCCCGGCTGTGGGGCTGGGTTGCTCCTCTAGCTTGTAACTGTCACAACCTTTCCCCCTCCCCTGGAATGTCATCCTGGAGACTCTGTATATACCGTCTCTCGTGTTCTTTGACCCCCCAGGCAGGTCACTTTCTGCCTGTGGAACAAATAAGCGCCTAATCTTATCTGTTGAGCTGACCTCGGCTGGAAAAGCAGGGCCGGGCCTGAGGTAGACCAGGGCAGAGATGACTGAGGCGTGGGTCTGCCCTCCTGGGGGCTCACAGACAGATGGATGGATCATAGCAGGACGGGAGACACAGCTCAAGAGAGGAGGGTCAGGGGTTTCCCCCGGCAGCAATCCCATGGGAGTCCCTGTGCGGACCAGCAAGGACTCAGCTGGTTCTGGAAGGCAGGGCTGGTGCTCCCTGCCCCCTCCGATACCCACCCTTCTGCGGGCCCCTGGGCTTCGGCCCTGTGGGAACGGTTGCTGCCCCAAATGCCAGGACTGGGCAGAGGCTGGCGCCCAGCCTGGAGTCACTCCCTGCCTCAGCTCTCTCTTCTCTGCTCCCCCTGCCCCGAACCCCAGGTTGGGCCACAGCCAGACGAGCGTCACTGAGGCCCCTCCAAATCCCAGCCTGCTCTCTGATCTCTGCTCCAGGCAGGAGGCCTGGGAGATGGGACCCCAAGTCTCCTAGCTGCTGGCTCCCTGGGCTTGGAGGGCTGCCAGGAGGAGGAGTCCAGGGGCAGGAGCAGGAGAAGGCTGGTCCAGCAGGCAGAGTACTCGTCGATGCGGAGAGTGTCCTGGTCAGGGGTGGGGAGACCTGCATTCTAGGCCTGTCCTGCCACTGCTGGGCCTAGTTCCTCGAGGTAAGACTCTGTCTCTCTGGCTTCAGTTTTCCCATCAGTAAAATAAAGGCCTTTCCATCTCTCGGACGTTGTGTTTCTTTTAAGTGAAGAGGTCTCTCTTGTGCCTGGAGGCAGAGGGATCTCAAGGAATCAGGGGCACCAAAGAGGAGAGGAGCCTAGACAAGGCCAGGTCCATCCTCCAGGTGACAAGGATGCCCTCCCTTCCCCTGGCCAGCATCAGTGTGTCCTTCAACACTCACATCTTATAAACTGCGAGATGCCCATTTCCACAGTGTAACCTCTCTGAAATCAGATGGGTCTCACCATCAACGAAGTCTCAGAGCCCAGGACACTGATGATGAGGTGCCACCCCCGCCAACCCCTCTCCTGGGCCTCAGCTGGCCGGCTCCGCCATGGCACGCTCCCTACCGTGCCATAATTGTTGGGTTCCCATAGGCAGCATCCGGGGGCCCAGAAACACGCCTCCCCCCAACTTAAAAAAATGTGACTGGCCAGAGGAGGTGACGTCAACACCATAAACCACAAAACAAGAGTCGGCTCGATGCCGCCACAGTGGAAAGAAAGGCCTGACACTGTTACCAGGCCTGGCCCCTCCTGCCTCCCCCACCGGCCTCCCCAGTGCCTGCACAACCCCAGGGGTTTGGAGGAGGTGGGGACAGGCAGGACGGAGAAAAGGTGCTGGAAGCAACACCACGGACTCCCAGAACTGGGCTGGGAGGTGGCATGGCGGGTGGGTCAGCCCCTGTCCTGGCGCCTGGGGAGTCCGTGTGGACTGTCAGGGAGCATCTAGTGAAGGTGATATGCCCAGAGCGTCAAGGACTTGCCAGGTCCCACGTGGGGTTCTCTCTCAGCCTTACCTTAATTCCATCTCACCACCACCCTAGGGTCCTCCACCCTATGAGGTTGTGTGAGGGAACGGAGGCTCAGAGAGGCTAAGCAAGGTTCTGAGGGCCACACAGTTCGTTAGAGGAGAGCCAAAGTGCCAACCACCTGTCTGACTGGGGTCTGCTGTGCTCTTGCCCTCCAAGGCAGAGCCCATGGGATGTCCATTACAGGGGCAAGATCTGGGGGAGAAGAGACGATGTTTCCCAAGAAAGATGTTTGCCACCAGTCCTTCCTCTTGCAGGCTTGGAGCTGGGCCCTTGACCATATTAACTCACTCTTCACAGTGACTCTGGGAGGTAGGCGCCATCGTTATTCCTATCACGCAGTTAAGGAAACAGGCACAGAGAGGGTAGGGGACCTGCCCAAGGGCACACAGCTGTAAGTGGCAAAGCCACGATTCGAACACAGGCAACCTGGCTCTCGAGTCCTCAGTCCCTCTTAGCCGCCCTGGGCCACCAAGTGCTCCCCTAAGACCTGCTATGTACTAGGCTGCCTAAGTCAGCCACTGGGACATCTCTCCCAGGTTGGTGCCATTCTTGCCACTTGACCCATGATATTGAGGCCTTCACCCCCCGCCCCGCATGGCACAGAGAGAACTGCCTTTGACCCCACACTCTGCTGGGAGACCCCTAGGGAGGCCAGGCGGGCGCATGTCCTCGGCAGCTCCCGCACAGACGGGGCGCACTGGGGCGCCTGGGCGGGGATGGGGGATGCGCGCAGGCCCTGGGCGCCGCGCCGGCGGGGCTGGCACTCACCTCGGGGAAGGCCCCTTCGGCGAAGACCATCAGCAGCGACGTCTTCCCGCAGCCGCCGTCGCCCACCAGGACCACCTTGACCGAGCGCACGCCGGGCGGCGCCTCCTCGCCCACCGCCTGAGCCGCCTTCATCGCGGGGCCGGGCGCCGGCGGCTGCGGCGCAGCGACGGGACGGCGCGGGGAGGCCGGCGGGGCAGGAATGTGGAAGGGGCGGGGCGGCGGGAGGAAGTTGAGCCGGGCGGGCCGGGGCCGGGGCGGGCGGCCGGGCCCAGGTGAGAGGCGAGCCGGCATCGGGGCGGCCAGGCGCGGCGGCTGGGCTGGGGCCCTTCCCCTCCTGTCCCATTCAGCCGCTAAAGAAACATTTATTGAGCGCCTGCTGTGTGTGGGCGCTGGGGCCAGAGGAGGGGAGACCCAGACTTAGCCTCTGTCCTGAGGAGGGCACGGGGATCTGACAGGGAGAAGACAAGGAGCTGGGCAGTGACAGTGTGTGTGCCAAGGTGTAGACAGGGAAAGAGGAGGCACCTGGCCCACTTCCCCTGGGAGGAGGGAGGTGAGGGTTGGCCGTGTTCACCTACTAGCTTGGTGGGGACAGGGACTGTGTCCCTGGTGCCCAGTATAGGTGGGGCACTGAGCATTGATGAATGAATGAGCATTTCCCCCAGGGCTCTGGAGACAGAGCATACCACAGTCCTCCCTCTGGCTGTTTCAGGCCAGGTAGGAAGGGAGTGACCTGGGCATGTCCCTATGGGTCAGTCGCTGGCACTGCCAGACCTGGCCTGCCTTCGCCAGCCAGCACCAGGAAGTTTCGCTGCAGGCGGCTGACCACCTGTCTCCCCTCTGGCTGAAGCATAATCTGGTGAGAGTGATGGAACCTTCCATCTATAAAGTGCTTGGAGCAGGGTCTGGCATGTGGTTGGTGCCATGTGTGAGTGATTCTTATTCTTTAACCAACACTGATGGCCCCTCTGTGCCCAAAGGCCTGGGGACCCCAAACCGTTCAACACAAAGTCCCTACCTTGAGAAGCCCATGGCCTCGAATGGGAGACAGGCAGGACCTCAGTGTGACGAGAGCTAGAGCAGAGGGAGGGAAAGTTAGTGGGACCGGAGTAGGAAAGAGGGGCTTCTTACCCGTGTTGGGGGTCAGGAAACCCTTCTGAGAAGAGAGGCCAGTTTTGAGGAAAAAGTGAGACACAGTCAGATGGGGGAAGGGAAAGGTGTTCCAAACCGAGGGAACAGCACATGCAAGGTACGGAAGCAAGAGAGAGGTGGGGTGCTTTGGGGGGCCGCAATCCTTCCTGGGATGGAGGGCGAGGTTGGGTTGGGGAGATGGTGCCAGGGGTGAGGCTGAGGGCTAAACGAGCCTGGATGGTTTGGATGCCAGGGATAAATACAAAACTGATTGGAAACTCACTGTCCCCTGACTTCCCACCCTTGTTAGTAGCCAGAATTGAAATCTCTTAAAATGGACACAGGGGCCTCCCCAGATCCTGGACTGAGTGTTTTCAGTGAAGTTCAAAGGAACAGGGGGCAGAAGTCTTTGGGTTTTGAACCTCCCCCCATGCAGGTCGTGACGTCATTCCATGACGGGAAAAAGCACCCTCTGAACCTCACTGTGGCCTCAAGAGGCAGCTGGGGCGGGAGTCACTGCCTCACTGTGCAGAGGCAGAGAGGGACCCTGACTCCTATTCCAAGCTCACCCAAGGCCACCATCAGCAAGGCAATGGAGGGAGCATCCGAGGACTTCCCCGCCCTCCAGGCGCCCCTTCCTCCCCGAAACTGCCATAGGGTTGGGCATGACTTGGCGCTGGGCTGGGTGTGAAGCCACTGAGCAGGGTGCCCCGCCCCAAGGAGTGGTTGGGAGGGGCCCCATCCCCCAGCCATCAGCTGTTGGCCTCGTCATCCCCTTTCCTCCCTGTCGCTCTGTCATCAGGCTTTGGGTGGCAAGGCTGGGAGGCAGGTGGGGCCAGGCTGGGGGTGGAGGGAGTGGAGAGGCGGGCAGATGTGTTTGGCCTTGGTCACTATGGAGATAATCACTCTAATGACACCCTTGACATGTGTCACACTTTACAGTTTCACTGAAGGTTTCCTAATAATAACAGTGCCCATTAATGGATTGCTCACCATGTGCGGGCACCGTCCCTTTGCACGTGGGAATTATTAGCCCCATTTCACAGATGAGGAACCTGAGACCTAGAGAGGTTAAGTTCTTCTCTAAGATCCACAGCTAGTAAGAGGCAGAACCCGAATTTGAACCCAGGTCTGGCCACAAAGCCAGGCTCTCTCCGCCATCACCCCTCCTACGCGTTATTCCCTTCAGCTCTCAGACTGTGGGGTGGGCAGAGCAGGTGACTCGCCTCCCCCATCCTACAGATTTGGGAACTGAGGCTCAGAGAAAGGCAATGGCTTGTCTCAGGCTAGCAAGACGCAGAGTCAGGATTTGAACCCAGATCTTCTGATATTAAACCCAGCCCCACCCCCACTCCATGCTTATGCTTCTGCGAGAGGAGGATGAGCCAACGCGCCAGGGAAATCTGCCCTTGTTGGCAGGGAATTTCCCCAAGTCTCAGACATCACTGAGCCCTGGACGGCACTGTTTTCTTGGAGTTTATTTTGGAGTCGGGAAGTGGCCTGGGTCACAGTCTGCCTCGCCAGGGTACTGTTTACTGTTTCACTGTTTTTTTGTGGCTGCTGTTTACCACTAGCCTGAGGGTGACTCAGCCCCTTGACGCCCCACCAGTCCCAAGCCGAGTCCTTTGGGTACCCTGCACAGCAGGTCACTGCCCCACAGACCCCCGCCCAGCAGAGGTGGCCAGGCCAGTCCTCGGCCTGACATGGAATCCTTTCCTTGGGATGCAGGTGGCCAGGCTGGCTCTTCCAGGCCGCAGCCAAGCCTTGAGCACCTTAACAGCGAGGACGAAGGCCAAACCATCTCTGTACCCCCAGACAGGAGTGCCTGCCCCAGGCTGACACCCAGCTGTGGCTCAGGATGTTATGTCCAGTTGACTGTCTGGCTGGACAAACAGGGGAAGGGAAGAAAATGAGGGAGCAAGGAGAGAGGAAGGAAAGAGGGAAGATGAGCTGACTCAGAAGAATAAACAAACTGAAGAAATGACTAAAGGCACAAATGGTTACATGGATGAGGGAATACATTGCTCGTGACCTGGCTGTGGGGTCAGCAGACAGGTGACCTCCCTCCGGTCTCCATCTGCTCCATGGCCCCCCTAGCCTTGGCTCCTCTGCCCCATTTTCTGGCACCTCACCCCCATCCTCCCTGAGTCCCCTGCTGTCCCGGCCAGTCTCTGCTGCCCCGGTGTGGCCGCTCTGCTCCCTGCACCATCATTACCCAGGGCTGTCTGCTCCGTGCGGGGTTCCTGGCTTGGCCAGTGGGGTGTTTATGGATGTCTGAAGCAAGGGGGAAAGTGGGTGCCGGGTGGCGGCGGGGGGAACTTCAGAGGTCCATTCTTGCCCCTTGGGATGCCTTGACAGTGTACACAGGCTCCTCATGCCTCCCTCTGTACCCTCCTCTCTTTCATCCCAAACACCAGATCCCAAGAGCACTTGTGCTTGGCCAGAACTCTTCCACCCAAAGACTTGATGTCACGTTTATTGAGCATCTACTGTATGCCACACACTTGGCGTGTGTCATTTCATCCCATCCTATGAAGTATGTATAATTCTTATCCTTCTTTGACAAATGGGGAAACTGAGGTCCAAAGGGGACAGATAATTTGCCCAAGATCCCACAGCTGACAAATGGAGGAGCTGCGATGCTAACCCAGGCATTTGGGCTGTAGAGCCCCTACATACAGAATCCCCAAAAGTCAGAGGTGCGGGGGAACTTCAGAGGCCTTCTTGGTCAATCCACTCATTCTTCAGATGGGGAAGCGGAGGTCTCGAGAGGAAGGGACCTGTCGCACAGCAAGTAAGCAGCAGACCAGTCTATGGCAAGTGGAACCCAGAAGGGCCTCTTCTGCCGAGTTTCCTTCTGTCCGGCCTCCCTCAGGCCAACTCAACCCTGGCTGCCATTTGATGGAGCCCAGGGCTGGGGATGCAGGCCTCCTGCCCCTGCCTCCTCTCCCTGTGTCGCCATGACTGATCCTTCTGGGTGGGATGGGAAGGCTGGTACTGGGGTGGGAGTGGGCGGGAGTGAGGAAGACCTGTGGTCCAATCTTCATGTTTATTTAGCCTTCAGTTTGTCCCTTCCGGTGTCTGTGGGCACAGACGACCACAGGCAGGAGAGGGGAAGTGAAGTTTGGAGTTGCCGTCAACCGTGGATGCTAAAGTGGCTCGTCCTGCTCCTCCCACACGCGGCCTGGCCCAGCCAATGCCGCTGGTCAGGTCAGGGCTGTCATCTTGGTAGGGCTCGGTTATCCCTGAAGGCTCCCAGACAGAAGGGGCCTGGGACCCTCAAGGCAGGCCCACGCGCCTGGGGTTAGAGGAGGGGACAAGAGTGAGGGGGAAGGAGGGGCAGGAAGAGAGGGAGGATCTCGGTTTGGGCCCTGCTGAATGAAGCTAAAACCAAAAGGCAGCTTGATTGTCCCCCACTGACGAAGAGCCCCACTCGCTGATGTCCCTCCTTGTCACTCCAAAGCTGCTTAGAGCGGCCCCCTTCCTCCCTCTGTCCCTCTGACCTGCTCCTGCCCAGGAACCCTCTGTGGCTCCCCACTGCCTGCAGGACCAGACCCTCAGCTTCACCCTGGCTTCCAGCCTCAGCCGGCTGTGTGGCTCCCCAGACACACGTGAAACCTTTGTGCAGGCAGTTCATGCCCGGAGGCCCCTCTCCCTCCTCCAGGTGTGCCGTCCTCCCTGCCTGCAAGGCCAGTGCTCTTGCTTCCATCTCCTCCGGGAAGCCTTCCCTGCTGTCCACCCTTCATGGGCTCCTGCAGCGGCCTGTCCCATTGATACCTCTGTCTGCCAGGTGTTGGCAGGGAGCTTCCTCAGCAGCTCTCCATAGTCAGGCCCAGTGCTGGGCAGGCCTCCTGGGGGCTGCTGGGAATTCCCACCCAGATCCTCCTCCTCCCACACTTGCTGTCATCTTCCAGGGCAGGGGAGAGGAGGGGAGGGGAAATCAGAGCAGCCTGGGATCCAGAAGGGCTTCTCTGCTGCCCCTTAGCCCCACCCTCCAGGAGTTGCACAAGGAGGCAGTGTGGCTTAGTGGTTAAAAGTGTGAGATCTGGATCCAGACAATCTGAGCTT